AGTACAACTTTCTTTATTCTTTCCTCTAAAACATCTAAAATAATACACTATAAATAATACACTATAAAATTCCTCATTTTCAAAAGTAAATGTTTGTGTCCTGCTCTACATAATACATTAAGCACATTCCCAAAAGAGATGATTTTAATTTTTTTTAAATTTCAGATTAAGAATTCATTTTTCTACTTTCTGATTCGGCCCAAAGGTCCCAAGACAAAGCAAAACATTGCCCTAGAGTCTCTGACCCCAGACATTCAGGCTCTTCATCACACACCCTATGTGATATCCCTGGACCTACAACAACCACAGCCATTCTAACAATCAAGGAAACAATAAGAAATGTGGGGAGATTTGTTCCAAGCCAAATGTTTTCACTGATCCCTTAATATACTCTCTCCATGGTTAATCCCACTGTGAAGCTAAAATAAAACATTCCTAGTTCCATGACTCTTGAATTCAGAAGTTCATACCTCTGAAAATGGTGAAGTGCAGAAATGCAAAATCTCAGGCACTCCTTTGGTGCAGTGTTAAAATAATTATAAACACTGCTTCTATATTAAAACAAATGCATGATGAAAACTGAAATCAAAAGTTTCAAGATTGTGATTGTAAAGTCTATGTGCCACTTTGTTTAGCCCTCATAAGAACTCTCTGGGATAGGGATATTACCTCCACCATACAAAGGAAGAAACTGAAAATTAGAGAAGCAAATTAAATTACACAAAGGGACATATAATTACTTTCAGTGGGGAGACTCTTACCCAAGAGTTTAGTTTCTGGAACACAGAACATGAGACCTCAAAAAGTCTAGGAGAGTCAGGCTGACTGTGAATAAAGCAGACCTGTGAAATGCAGAATAAATGAGCTAGACGTGGAAAAAGAAGGGACGATGATGCTCTGTAGTTCTTCCTGATTTTTAGTTCCTGCAAGACCTCACCACTGGTACAGAGATGTCCCAGTAATCATTTGCAGTTATGAGTTTCTGCTTCTTCCAAAGCAAAACAAAGACAGTGAGCAACATGGTGAAAAGAAAAGAGAGGTGAAAGGTATAGTTATTTTTGTTCAGACACCTCTCTCTCCCCCACACAAACCCAGGGACAGAAAGCTGACCTCACTCTGGGTCCCGGGGCAGATTCTGACTGATCAAGGCCAATCCACTGACAATGTTCTTCTGAACACACTTACTGGTCCAGAACACAGGAAGGGATTCAAGCTGACTCAGCTGGTCTCAGAGGAGAGAAGTTCTTTCTCCATGTTCTCCCTCTCATGGTTTTCCCTCACTAATCACCAAACACGGTAAAGAAATATGCTGACCCTAATTCTCTTGGCAGTCCTGAGAAATCCAATCTTGAAAAACTATATATTTCCATAAAACTACAGGAGGAAAATGTCAGATGCAGTTAGTGAAGAAAGGAAACATTTGAAATACCCAAGTGTCTGAGAATACGACAGGGATGGGGCAGGTTAGGGTACTGTGGCTCTCGCCACAACTGCCAGGACTGCGGAGAGCTGAAATCGGGTCGCTACAAAGAGAAAAAACAGAGCTAATCAATTCTATAGGAAACCCTTGCCAAGCCCAGTTCTGAAACGGAGCCAACAGGCCACATAGGGACAAAGTAACACCTGGTTTGTGGTCACAAACCCACTTGCCAAACCACACATAGCTTGAAAGTCTAATTTTAAGCTCGGCACCCATAATTGGTATGTTTTATTTTCTGTTTAAAAAAAAAAATCTCTGTATTTCACCTTCAGGGTGCACTCACTGGTCATCCCTCTAACTTTCTCTCACAGAGGAACAAAACAAAAGTAACAATGTGTCTTCCTTTCTTGGATGCCCCATATTCCAACTCCCAAACTGCCCATTCATTTAGAACGTCTACCTAAATGGCTCTAAATACATGTCAAGAGCTAAGGGAAAACACTCTAGAATCTGGACCACATTCTTCTGCATATCCTCTCTTGTTCAGAAACCTCCCACAGCTGAGCCTTCCTGAAAACACAAAAGTCATTCTTTATACCAAGGATGCAAAGTTCTTGACAGCCTGAGATAAACCCTCCCACCGTACCATATTCCTTCCCCGCCACCTGTTCAAGATGGAGTTAGGATACCCAGATTCACACCCTGGCTCAGAGGCTTACTGAGTGTGTCTCCTGGAGTGAGTTACTTAACTTGAACCTCAAACACTGCACTTGACTACTTGACATATCTGGCTTTGCCCTTGACAAAGGAAGCATCGATGAGGATTAGTTTGCTGCATCAATGACAGAAAAGTATCTTGGAGAGGATTAGAACACAACAGACTAAAGAAGAAAAAAGTGTAACTGAGCAAACCTTTTAATAAAGGAGACCTGTAAGAGGTGCCAAAATATGAAATGCACATGACCTTTAAACCAGAAATTCTGCCTATTCAATCTATTTTAAAATGTGAAATATGCAATTAGTTTTCATTAGAACACTAGGTGGAACAGCCAAAAATTCAGAAACAACTTAATTAGAAATGGATCAAGAAAATTATGTAAGTAGATACTACCTGTAGGTGATTAGAATTTTTTCCAGAATTGGTTAATAATTTTTACAAGCATGTGTCATTTATTCCCCAAATCAGAATGACTTTAAAACTAATGTTTTAAAAGCATACAAAATAAAAAAGATTTCTAAAGAACTTTTTCTCTGGATTCCCAGGGCTAACTATCATTTTACGACAATAGGTACAGGTTCAGTTCAGCTTTTAAGACTAGCCAACGTCTGAAAAAAAAAGAAGAAGAAGAAGAAAATGAAAAAGAAAAAGAAGGCTAAAATGAAGCAGAAGAAATGAAGATTTCTTTGGCATAAAATCAGAAAAAGTCTATCTTTTTACTACTTCGCATATAAAGAAAAGAACTCTATTCTCTGGCCATATCCTTTACACTTAATGCTGGCCATCTTGTCCTACGAGAGCTCTTATGAGGGAAACTAGGAAATGAAAACTGACGGGTAGTGAACCTACTACGACACTAGGAAGAGCTGGTGTGCTCCTGCATCCACTGGGTGGCTACTGGCGCACCCTGGTAGCATCATTACAGGATCCCAGTTATTTAAGTTTATGTGTCTGATTTATTTCACTCAATATTGTATTTTCCAGGTACATTTACAAATGTCTCAAATGTATCCTTCTTTATAGCCAAGCAGTATCCCATTATGTATAGGTACCACGTTTTTGTTATCCATTATCTTTTGATGAGCATACAGGTTGTTTCCAGGATTCAGTTATTGTGGCTTGTGCTGTCAAAAACATTGGCATGATATATCACTATATATCTTTAGCTATTTGGGGAAGAACTCTAGAAGGGGAACAGCTGTGTCATATGGAATTTCTAATTTTAGTTATTTGAGAGATCGCCATACTGATTTTCACAATGGTTGTACTAATTTACATTCCCACAAACAATAGAGGAGGATTCCTTTTTCACCAAAGCATTTGTTAATTTTCTGACTTCTTGATGATGCCCATTCTTTTTAGTGGAAGATGAAATCTTAAAGCTGTTTTAACTTGCATTTTTGCATTTCTCTAATGACCAGAGATGTTATATATTTTCTTTCTTTTTTTTTTTAAACAGGGTCTCATTATGTAAACCAGGTTGGCCTAGTCATGGAGTTTCTGCCTCAGGGTCCTTAGTGCTGGGATTACAGGAATACACCATCATGCCCAGGCGTTAGTTTTGTTTTTAAAATCTACCTCTAAGAGCCAGGCACAGTGATACATGCCTGTGGCCTGGCACTCGGGGAGCTGAGGTGAGAGGATCACTTGAGCCTGAGAGACTGAGACCAGCCAGAGCCACAAAGACAGATAGCATCTGGGACAGACAGAGAGAAGAATGAGGAGAAGGAGGATGAGGAGGAGGGGGAAGAGAGAGAAGAAGGAAGAAGATCCATTTTAAGTTAGTTTTATATTTGTTGTGAAGTAGGAGTCCAACTCCATTCTTTGACACGTCGATTATTCAGGTGTTCCAAACTGTATGTTAAAGTGGCTTTCCCCACTGAACTGTCTTGTAATAAGCAACGTTTAAAAATATATCTCAGATATCCTATTACTGAAATGTTGCAGCAATGATACAGCTGTGTATAGTTATTAAACCTCATAGAACTTGACAAATAAATTTTACTGTATGTAAATAAGATCTCAAAAACTTAACATTTAAAAATTTCATCTAGAGAAATACACATAGGATAGTGTCATGTACAAGAAACATGTTTCACAGCCACTATGTTCCTGTTTGTAATAAAGAGAAACTAGATGCCACGTGAATGTCTATCAATAAGAAAGCAGACAAAATGTAGTCACAGGCTTGAATCGTATATAACAGTACAAAGGAATGAGAAAAATAGATACATAGATAGACAGATACCTCATTATATATGTATCTCATTATATATAATGGGTATATATATGTATTATATCTCATTATATATAATGGGTATATATATGTATATATTATATATGTATTTATATATGTACACATATATAATTTATAACTTATATATAAATTATGTGTACATATATAAATACATATATATATAAATACATAAAATTACCAATGAATAAAGCTCAGAAATATTTAAGTAAAAAAGGGTCCAATAATTTACACAATATAAAGATTATGTAAAAAAGATATAAAAACCATATTACACAGCCTCAGTAACTACATATACAAATACCTAAGGTATGTGTTGCAAGATCTGTAAGACTATTCAAACTGACAATATTCTTTCATCGGCTGAGAAGACAGCAGAACTGGGAAAGGTGGTCAAAGAAGAATTGAGCTCTGTCATGTTTCCTTCCAAAGGAAAATACATTCATTTACTTTTTCTGCAATGACAAAATTTGTGAGTTACAGACAGAGGTCCTAAGTATAGAATCACAGCTTTTCAATATTTGTGTTCATATATATATCCCTGCACCCAAAATACGTGCACACACACACACACACACACACACACACACACACACAGGTGATCTTACCAATTTGGATTTTCCATACTTTCCCTGAAGACAGACTCTTCCTTCAGGGATGCGTACTGTGTCCATGTAAGGCAGTGACTCCGTATAGCCATGTTTCTTTCCTGAAGATTGAGCCATGATTCTTCTTCTAACTGGACAGTAGGTACCTTTAAAATGCTCACCTGTCCAACAGAAGGAGGTTGGCTTGCTCAGTTTAAGAAAAGCTACACAGGGACTGCTTCTAGACCCACTTTCAGTCTTGATAATAAAGAAGACAAGAGATCCTGCTGTACGGATGACGGCTCACCAATGGCTGTAACTCTTGATAATCAAACACACTGTGACCTTACTGAGTGCTATAAGAACATGCAAATGGCCCAGGATTTATGTAGGCTATGCAGTCCCTGGCCTGATTTCCCTAACTGCTACACACTAAGCAAATTATCAGCCTCCTTCATGTCTCCTCTAAAGCTGGATATGGCCTCCTTAAACTGATGAATTCTGATCAAGCATACTTACAAGCTCCCATGCAGGACAATATCATGTAAAATATTTTCTTTATTTTAAACTCTGTCCAATGCCTAGAAATGTATGCTTTCTTAGGTAGAGAAGACATGGAAAACTACAGAGGCAAAGTTGTACAAGTCAGAAGTATCCTTAAATTATTTAAGAATTGAGATACAAGACAAAGTTGAATGCCTTTTTAAATAATAGATTCAAAGTGGTATGTAGGGCAAAGGCAGGGTATGCACTCTGTGGAAAAAGGCAGTAATAATTTGCTGCTACAGTGCAACACATTACTATCTGGAAAATAAAGGAAAGTTCCTTTTCATTGTCATATTAGCTAAGAACATGACAGAGTCTTTTAATCCATGATAAGGCAGTGATGAAAGCTGCCATTTTTCCTACATGCAGCACAGCAATTTAATTTGCAAGCTAATCAGCAGGAGCCAAGCTGAGTTTTACACCATATCCAGAATCTCTTCCGGGGTAGAACAGCTACCTATGACAATTTCAAAAGTGTGCACTTCTTAACAGTTTTTAAAACTTGTCAAAAGTCTCTCTATGGTTCAAGCAATGCAATTAAAAATCTCCACTCACCTTTCTCCAAAAAATAATCACCAGGATGCTTAAAGGTTTCAAAGAGAAAAAACAATTTGCTATCATGAAGATTTTGTCAGCAATATTACTTTACAGAAACGGAACACAGTAAGGCTTACACACAGCACTAAGAACATTTTCCTCTCAGGAATTCCTAACAGTGAATTAGAAATGGAAACTTTTCCTTATTTCAAAATCACAGTAAATATTTACAATCTGCCAACTTCTAATCACTTTTATCTGAGTCATTTCTAAGCAGGATAAAATTTAAAGACAGTAACTTCATGCAAAATGTTAAATGTATCTTAAAAATTATCACAGACTATCTCTATATCCATTAAGAACCATCCATAGAAAAGACAGAGAGACTGAGACAAATTATCTGCAGTGACACGTGCCAAAACTGGATTGTTATGAAAAAGCTTTCTTCCTCTGAACTGCTGTGAAGTGGAAGAAACAGCAAGTCTCAGTGCTCCTTTACACCTAAAAATGTTCTCTGTCCAAGACTATCAAAAATTACTCAATGGTACCCCACTGTAGTCACATTTGGAAATGAATTTACCTTCCTTAAAATTTCTGGAATCACATTCTGACAGATTGCAATCCTCTTTCTATAGATGATTCCTGTTGTTTCATCTAAAAGAAGAAATTTTTACTTAAAAATTTAATTAAGAAAATGCATTCTTATCTTAATGTCAATAAAGCTTTACAAGTCACCTCAATTTTCTGTACATAGGAGTAGAACAACTAGAAAAAATAATGACTCAAAACTCACTTTCTTTGACTTTTCTGAGCCAAATCATAGATACTCCTCATCTGTGATGAAGGAGTTAGTTTCTAACCACAAGACCATACTCAAGTCAGGGATTAAAAGGAAAAAAAAATCACACATTGTCCTTTACTCTGGACTGCCAATGCCAATGGCCAGTGCATTTCCGTCTGATCAAAAAGTGAATATTTTAATGTGAGAAGCACATGATTCTGTCGCCTTCTGCACTACCCTTTGAAGCACAAATTTCTGTCTACAAAGTTTAAACGTGTAATTAATTAATTATACTAGCCATCTTGTTGTCTCATAGCAGAGAAAACTCCCTATAACCAGAAACTGTTTAGGAGCGAAGTTTCCAGAACAATACTAGTGATTGTAATGCTTCATCCATTATATCAACTTAAGTCTGGACACTTAAGTAACTCAGCAGTATAAAGTCTACTGTGTAGAGGACAATTCCCTGTTACTCCAGGATGTTGTTCACTTGTAAACTTGAGAAGTTTAGCAGTTTAACTGACTCGGCAGGAGGCCAGGTCCTCACTATGTAAACATCCTCAGTCTGTGAAAGAGGAGGGCACTGAGCCGGTGTGAGTGCTACATCCGCAGAGGGCAGGGAGCCTGCGTATTACACAGGGGAGGAAAAGAGCCTCGCTCGCCCCCATACCCTTTAGCTCTTGAACTGTTGCCCCTGTACTGCACCACAGCTGATTATAGACTGAACCCTCTAGAAACCATGAGCTAGATAAACCTTCCCATAAATAAATAAACATGAGTTAAGAAAAAGGGAAGCAGGGCAGCCAAAAGAAAAACTTCAAAGTGCTGTCACGAGCCCTGCGGACTCATGAGGCTCAGCCACTCTGCCTACTGGGATTCTCAAAGCTCTGGACGTTGGAGTCCTGATCCCTGTTACCACCATCCTGACCTCCAGAAGCCGCTGAGAGGGTACAAAACCTTCAGCCCATCCATATTCTTATCCAATGTTTGCAACACACATACTTAAGATGAATTAGCCACTACTGGAAGTAAAGATGCCCTTAACAATGAGAGAAGTCATAATTAATTCTATACCACTTTAGAATATACAGCCATTTTCACATTTGATCGTCACAACAACATAAAAACAATTATTTCTCCAGTTAACCCAGGAAGAAACTGATCCTTCGAAACGTGAAGTCATGAAGATAGTAACAAAAATCAGGTCTTGATGCCAAGTAGCAAGTTTCTCCTACACTGAGGCAGAGTACAAGAGATAATACTTTTAAAGGTATTTATACAAGCCAGACATGGTGGCTCACGCCTGTAATCCCAGCACTCAGGAGGCAGAGGCAGGAGGATCTCTGCAAGCTTGAGACCAGCCTGGGCTACAAAGTGAGCCCAAGGCCAGCCCAAACTGCAGAGCAAGACTCTGTCTCAAAAAGACAAAAAAAGTAAATAAATAAATGTAAAGAATATTCTGAACAAGCAAACAGCAGTTTTACCTTACCAAGCACAGAGAGGGCCTCCGAATTGGTTAACACACAAGTCTAACTCATGACTTCTAAGCAGGCTGAAGCCCGTGTCAGATCATGTCCTGGGTGTCTCCAAAGGTTTGGTCATTGATTATATGCGCATGATCTTAGCTCCTGCCCTGAATTCCTTGAGTTCCAACACTAACAGTAACAATTTTTCCACGGGGATGGAAAGCACAGCAGCAGAGGTGCCTCAGCTCTGGCGCGAAGTCAGTAAAAATTTCCTAAAAAGGGCCACCTGGCAAATAACATATGCTTTGTGACCCAGAAAGTCTCTCCTGAAAATACTCAAATCTGCCGTTGCAGAAAAGAAGGAGCCACAGATAATAAACAAATGAGTGTGGCCACATCACAGAGAAAAGGAAAATGGGATGAGCTTCTTTTTGAAGAACTGTATGCTACTGTTTACGGGAAAGATTTTCAGGAAATACCTGTTGAGAGGTACTTTTAAATAAATCATGATTTTTACAAAATCTAAGTAAATGACGCTGCTAGCTCAAGAGAGAGTCAAGCTGACTATGAACCAGAGGCTTTTTATTCTTTGGACCTTAAAAAGGGGAAGACACTGTATTGTGTGATGTGACATGCGTTCTTCACTAATTACTAACATCTCGCTTATACGTTATTACCTTGCAAATAGAACTCTTGGGTTTCTTTCAGTTGACTCTAAATATAAGCTGACACGGGGAAAGGACATGTATTTGTAATAAAACTTTACCTAAAAAACATGCACGGCAAGTCATTGTTTGCCAAGCCCATCTCTAGTTAATACAGAACCGCACTGGAAGGTGCAGCTATGACTCTGCACTCTAATTACTTTATGGTCACACTCACGTATATGCTATTACTCATTCCTGTTTTGACAGTCACAAATTGATATATGAATGTACGATAGAGATATTCAAGGTATGATAAACTCAGTAGTGAATGTTTAAATTAAAAAAATATTTATTACAGTAAAAGACACACTGCCATTCATCACCCTCAGGATACTCCCCCACCGCCTCAAACACATTTGTCCATCGGTCTTGACACTTTCTAAAGCAATTCTGAAAGTTCTCTTTCATGTCTTTAGCGATACTGTCACAGCTGCCTCAATGTCCTAAATCACTTCAAAACATTTACCTTTTATGGTCATTTTGAGTTTAGGGAAGGTTTAAAGTCACCGGATGCCAAATCTGGTGAAGAGGAGACTCTAAGGTTTTCATGAGTCTGCCCTTTGAGCTGATGGCACTTGGCAGTGGCATTCACTGTATTTTTTATCACATTTTGTAAAGATATTTTCAGAACTGCTTCAGAAAGGAACAAGAGCAGTGGGCTACGTATATTCAAAGGGAGGGAGGAGTATATTGAGGGGGGTTAGCGGCAATATGTCTCTTACAGTAATAAAGATTTTAAATTTAAACGTTCATTATATATTTTGATCATACTCCACAACCACTGTGACCTTGACTATTTAACCTCTCTAAACATCAATTTCTTTATTCATTACATAGGAATAACCCAACCACCTAAATAAGAGTGCCTGGCACATATTAAGTGCCCTCAAAGGTTACGTGTAAATTATATGTAGTTCAATGCTATCATCAATGAGTAATTTAGAAAATAACCAGACAGTTGTTCAAGACCCAACAGATCTCATACATACAGACACATATGCACACACATTTTTACAAAAATCAGTATCACTTAGTGATCATCGCTGAATTGAGGGTATATTCAAAGAACTTACCTTTTCTTTCCTCCACAATTTTTACAGAGATGACATTTTTATCCATGGGGTTGGGATACTAAATGAAAACATATAAAGAAGAACCATCATTCATCTTCTATTAAAGGGTATTAGCAGCAACCACAGCTATTTGCAGGACCCATAAATATTTGCCAGGTAACCACTACGTAAAGACCAGTTTGAAATCAAGATCTTAATTCCATCATTAGGGTCTGGTTAAGTGAGATGTCTGACCTTGTGTGAAATCTTAACCCAGGGTAGAGAGGCTGGGACGATGCTAAGCTAATTAATAAATAATAAGACTATTACTGTTCAAGCAGCCTAACACAAATCAAGAGTATTCTTTGTGCCACTCTGCTAAATGCTTTAACTGCATAATCTCGTCTAAATACAACAGCCACTGCTGTGAATGGCTCCTCTAATATCATTTTCCCCATTTCTTTTTCAGAAGAGGACACTGAATAAAGAATGGATCTCTTAGAGTTACCCAGCTGGCCTTTGTTGGAGACAAGAAATTAAACCAGGCTGTTTGAAACAGGGATTCCTTCAGGACTGTCCTATATCTTAGCCTGCTGGCTCGGTTAGCACCTCAGGAGAATAATCACAGACTTACACTATGCTACTGAAATAGTGGATGTTCAAAAGCATTTAGTTTGCTGATGAAATTATCTTGAAAGACAATTTGGATGTTACAAGGTAGACAACAGGTGCCATTTTGTCCTAAGCAATTTACACACAATGTCTCAGTTGAGTCTCAAAAACATTCCAGGAAATGTGTTATATTTTCTCATTTCGTGTGTAGGAAATAAGCCTTTCATAAATAATTTGCCCAAACAGTTAACAAGTAATCAATCTGGGGGAATGTATTTTATCGTCACTCTGTCTCCAAAGCCTCCCCTCCTAACCCATCGTGAAATTACCAGAATTTCTCAAACCCAACCCTTTCCAATTGTCAGATGCAAAAAAAGGAGCAAAGGGACTCTCACAAAGCCATGCAACAGGGTGGCTGCTGACTCAGGCCTGCGAAGCTCCCTTAGACTCTCTTCCCCATCATTCCCGCCTCATCCCTAGGTCTGATGTGAAAAGGAAGTGAGCTGGAACCATCCAGCTTATGAGGAGGTGCTGAGCAGGGTCAGAGCAGACAAGCAGAAGGGGGGAGAAGTGGGTCTTAGAGTCCCCTTGAGGAACCTCGAGGACTTGAATTCCATGTCGCCTGAATCCTGGAAAATGGGATATGCATCTCTGAGTGTGGGCTTCCTCCTCCTCCTCCTCCTCCCACAGCAACCACACCCCAACACCCTGTGTAACTGTCTCCGTGTCTCTGTGTAACTGACTAAGTGAGCCCATCACTCATCTCTATCACTGTCACAAATTCTAGCTTGGATTTTCTGGAGGGGAGAAGGGATTGCCTGTCTGCAGTGCTGAGGACTGAACTCTGGGCCTCCTACATGATAGGCAGCCACTCTACCACTGAGTTACACGTCCAGCTCTTCTTTCACTGTTTAGTGACAAGATCTCATTAAATTGGCCAGATTGGCCTTAAACTTGTGATCCTCTTGCCTCAGCCTCTAAAGCAACTGGGGTTTCAGGTGTGCGCCACCACCCCGGCTGCTTTCACACATTCTTAAAGGCATCTGGGGCCCAGAGAGACACTGGATTAAAACTTCTCCTCTAGGAGGGAATGGATATTATCTATTTCAGGGTGTCCACCAACCAGCCCAGTGTCTAGTGAGGTAAGTACTCAATAACCGTTTGCTGAATCAGTGAATGACCTGGAATTTAGATTTCCACAGCCGGGGGATCCATTCTGACGGCGAGGGAAATGTCACTCACACCCCCATCCTGTTAACTGCAATTGTGGTAACTAATGAGAAATGTACTTTCCAAAAATGCTTTAAGAGGGGCCAGGGGTTTAGCTCAACAGCACAAGCATCTGCCTGGCAAGCGCAAGGTTGTTAAGTTCACTTCCTGCTACCCAAAAAAACCCAAAAATGCTTTTAAAAAACATTCATTTATTCATTTTAGCTCAAGGAAGAAGTGATCAAAATTATAAAGAATGCTTTCTTAAAGTTTACCCTTTGAAGATGCATATCCACTACACGGCATCTGACTTAAACACCCTGTTCCCCAGCAGAAAAGGCTTCCATTTATCTCAGGCCTGCGAAACAAGAGACATCTAGCTCTCTCACATGTCCCTGAATCATATGAACAAACATGTAAACTATAACGTGTACACTAAAGTGAGTTTGTGTCCTTTACTGCATTCCATTCTGTTTGCTGTGTACCTGATAGATGCCCCGCATCTGAGAGACAGCACAATCATCACGGTGATAGTTCAAAACTGTGCCATCATAATGCGTAACTCCTTCTTCCCAGAAGCCCCTCTGGCTTCTTCCTCCCAAAAGGCTTTGCCAAAGCTCATGGGTGTAAAGATTTACCCGATCCCCTGCACTCTCACAAGATAAATTAGCTATTGTCAGTCCCCAAAGCCCTTCCCCCTCACAGCCTATGCAAGGCAAAACCCCTCTCAGTCTGCAGAGCCGCCACAGCCTTCTTTGCAGTGACTCCCTCTGTGCCCTCCTTAAACTTTGTGATCTAGTTGCCTCCTCTCTTTTAGTAGTCTGTGCCACTCTAGATTGAGTACAAAGTTTCAACTCAACCAGTGTCCATAAATGCATCCTGCTTGAGTCTTACAAATATACTGTAAGTTGTAGGAAGATCACTAAATTCCCAAAGAGTTTGGATATGTAATACCAGAGAAATATAGTGATAAAAGTCTTCGAATTCTAATTACTTCAATCAGTTGCCAGTGCAACTCCTAAAGAAAACATAATTTACATAATTTTTAATATTTTCTTATTAAGGCAAAGGATATTTAAATAATAGAAGTCTCAGGCTATTGTTCATTTCGGTTTTTTGTTTGTTTGTTTGTTTTTGTCTTTTTCCTTTTTATCAGTACAGGGGATCGAACTCACGACTGCCTGCTTGCAAGGCAGGCGCTTATGCCGCTGAGCTAAATCCCCAGCCCGCTCATTTCGGTTTTTGAGTACATACAATAGCAGATACTGTTCCAGGCACTGAAGATAAAGTAAAGAGACCAAATTATAGTGTTTCATAGATTTTACAAGTTAGTTGGGAAAACAAACAAACAGTGAATATGTTGAATTTGCGCAAGGCAAAATAAATCAGACTAAGAGATGATAGACAGATGGAAAATAAGGGAGGGAGGCGTTAAAACCTACTTAAAGGTCACCCATTAGACAATGCTTGCAAATAAAAAACATGAAATAGAAACTATATTAGCTAAATACAAGAGATCATGAACTTGTTCATTCTAGTAAATAATTATTTGTAAGATTCAAGTCACTCCCCTACACGACTACTTTTAGAGTTGAATAAACATGAGCCTCAAGTTTCCATACAAGAACAATAAAAGAAATTAGAGGCTTATGTACAATAACTCAATGCCATGAGATGTGTAGCATACATTTTAACTTTTTCTTTTGCAGATGTATTGAACTCAGAATTTCCCGACCTGGCATAACAGGAAATGATCTGATGCCATCTTGTGGTAACTTGAATATTCATGTTTCCATCCACCAAAAAGAAAAACACAATTTTTTGAGACAAGATCTCTCAGTGTTGTCCAGGCTGACCTTGAATTCACGATCCTTCTGCCTCAGCATCCTGAGTGCCAGAATTACTCAGAATTTCATTAAATTACAGAAATTACAGAATTACCCAGAAAACCATGAAAATTTATCTGAAGTCAGATTTTTTTTTAAGGTTAGAAAGAGGCAGAGCTGCTCAGAAAAGATCACCAGTAGGAACCCCAACCTAGGAGGAATTCCTGGACAGTTTTCAAATACAGTATGACTGCAGAATTGAGCACATTAATCAGGATCAAACTCATGGAAGACTCACTGATGTCTACTGTGACCATGCAAGGATTTGTATTAGACAGAGGCCATCACGAACACCAAGGCATTCAGTCCTCCCCAAAACAATGAAACACAGTAACCAGTAGTAAGATATGGATTCTTTTTGATAAAAACCTAAGGCTGTGACACCTGCACACCAGCAGGGTCACACAGCGATTCTCCAGTCTCCATTCCACATGAGCTCTCCTAGAAGCAAAGTGCTCTGGTGACCTAGATTTCTGCCGAAAGCCCTTGTCTTCCTTGAACCTAGCTCAGCAGATCACAAACATCCATGTACATGAGAATTATCCCAGGAGCTGTGTGCGGTAGTGCACACCTATAATAACAGAAGGAAAATTTGAGGCCAGCCTGGGCAACTAAGCAAGACCTATCTCAAAGCAAAATTTAAAAACAGGGCTGGAGAAGCAGTTCAGAGCTTCCTTGATTCAATCCCAGTACTGCAAACGATAATTAACCTATAAGGCCACACACATACACTGTGGATGCTACACTTCATGGGTGATTTAAGGGATGTTTTCAAGATACGTTTGACTTCATTTTAATCTTTGTTATAATTTTTACTTTCCTCACAGAATGAATAACCTAACTCCTTCACCTCTCCCAAAATATAAATCAGTTACAAAACTCACCACGCATGTTGTATGTGTGGAACAGTCACGTAGACTCTCCTAAGGTGGTCACATACCTCTGCTTTTGTTTATTTTTCACACATTAAAAGATAAGTTGCCAAAAACTGCATGGTGCTGGGAGAGAAATGTAGATTAAACACGTAATTATGAAAAGTGAAAGGCCAAGAAAGTGAGTCCACCTAATTACAGGAATAATATTAAATATATGTATTTGCAGAACTTGATGAAATTTGGGATTTGCCTCTCTTACTTACTGAAGAATAAAATCATAATTCAGAAAGCATATTGTTAAAGCGTAGAGTTGTTAAAATATCGATTTTCCAAAATCTCAGAAGTCAATGCCTGCCTTTTATAACACTCCCTCAGAAGGGTCCGCGGCCTCAGAGGAGCTGCTACACACCAACCTTCAAGTGGGTTTACCCAAGAGAGTACAAGGGAGCAGGTGAGCCGACAGCTCTCTGACTATCCTGCAAAGGAAGCTGTGAGCA